CGTCAATTACCTCTGTCGTGAACTCTGGATGGGCGATCCGTGTCAGCGATCGCACGTCTTCGGCATAGTCGCGAAAGTCCTCGCGGGTTGGCGGCGGCGCGCCTCTAAGGCCGTCTTTGCCTGTCTCACATTACGCATGCCGAAGCTTAGGTCAAGTCGGCACATCGACTCTTCTAACTGGGTTTGGGCGCTTGCGGGTAGAGCCTCCACAAAGTCAGCTGCCCGCCCATCTAGATTAATAGTAAGTTGCCGTAACGCCTGCGCGTCTGTCCAGCCATTAAGCTCTTTAGCCCCTATGATGTTGCGGGCAAACGCTTTCCATGAAGGGGTCCCCTGGCCGGTAAACACATACCTTATTTTCGCGTGGAGTAACGCGCCTCTCTCCCGTGGGTAAAACACACGCTCGTGCGCAAACACAGGATACCACAACGAGAAGGCTCACAGCACCATGCACTCCTCTCCGCACTCGCAGGGACGACACGACAAGGTTTATTGACTCTGCGAATAACGAAGCTAAACTACCCGTGTCAGTGTGGGCCAGCAGGGCAGGTCTAACCTATCTCCCGGTGGTCTAGGACTCAATCTGTCCCGTCTCTCCCTAATCACTCTCCCTAAGGATATTCCCCTTAATCTCACCTCTCTCCTGCGTACTCGTGGTTCGACTCCGAGATGCAGGAAGCATGGAAAGGCGAGGCTCCATGTAGTCCTTGCTGGGAACGGGGCCTGGCTGCGCTGCGACTTGTCTCACGGACGATCCAGTAGCAGGCATGATGACTCCTCCGATCCTTGACCCCAGAAGAACACGACTGACTGCTCCTACCTTCCCTGCCCTTTTTATTGTCCTTACATCAAAGATAACTTGCCGCTAATCCGCTGGCCTCTCGTCCAATCAGGAGCCTCGGATTTCCCGCTCCTCCCTAATCGGATCGGTGCTCTCTCCGACGTCCGCTTTTTACTCTTTAAACAAGCGCATTCTTTCTGCCAATCAGAGGGCCGCCCTGTTTTCACGCCGCTCGTTACTCCGCCCCACCCTCTACCTGCCTGCTGACCCGTGTCGAGTGTGTCCCTCTATCCGCGGCAGCTGAGCAGCCCTGTCGTGACCATGCAACCACCATCCAGGTCACGGCGCCGCGGTGTGAGCTAGCCTCGGGGGAGGTCGCCGTGAAGATTGGTCCCATGAGAGGGCTTCCGGGTGAAAACCTGTCGGCAAGGTGACCTCCCCTCGGGGCTCTATGTGGGGTGTGTGTGTGTGTGTGTGTTCATGTGGGGGGTGGTAGGGGAAGCACCGCGACGGAAGCTGGGCGGTTTCGTTTCTGCAGCACCCCCGCCGCAGGTACGGCTCCGATGGAGCGGCTTCGCTGTTGCAGCACCACTGCCGCAGGCGCGGCTCCGACGGAGCGGCTTCGTTGCTGTGGCACCACAAATCTCATTAGCCGCCCCTTGGGTTTGCCAGTTTTTTTTAATTAAATTTCATCACTTCCCAAGCAGGCTTGTGAGTAATTATCCTCCAGCTGTCTTTTGTGTGTCAAGGTAGGAGGCAGGGGGGTAATCACCTTTTCCGTGCCCCAGCGCTACATCCCGATCAAATTTTTTACAAAAAAAGGGCAGAATCACTCTAAATATATTTTTTTGAAAAAGGCATATATACAACATGCTCTTCGAGTGTTTATGATGAGATTCTATACAAACCTCCGAGTTGCTGAGGCAATTAAGCAAGCACCATATGAATGCTAATATTATAACATAGTGAATGCTTCAGAGCTGTTTGGCTCTCACTCCTGGTTAGAGATCTACCCAAACCACAGGTCCGCAAAATACTGGCCGCTCTTACTCTGCAGGTTGAACCTAGGAATCGAGTGTTCAACTTCACGTTATTTTCATTAAAAGCCCGTGACAGAGGTGAATCTATTGGAGCTTCATTGTCTCACGCTTACACATCTACTGGGTCTCCATTTGACTTTGTATTGTCTAGGAAGCCCACCCACACCTCCACTTCCACAAACTGTTGGGAGTTGAGACTTGATTCGAAGCTTTCGTGACTGCAGGAATTACTCTTTGTTTTTTTCGGTAAAGTCACGTATAAATGAGAAATAATAAAATAACATAATAGCGTACAACGTTTCGGTTGCAACACAAGCAGCCATCATCAGGTACAGAAGAGCTAAATTTACGAGAGAGAGGAAACACATAACCCCAGATGTATATACAGACACCCAAGTAGGGGGAACTAACACAGATACAACAGGGGACACAGAGAGAGAATCACACCAAACAAACAGGGTTTAGCAAAATTTGGAAACCATATAAAGCAACACAGATGGTCGGTCAAAACACAATTAACGCATAGGCTGGTTGATTACTCTATTTCAAAGATTGCTAAATTGCAAGTTAAGTATGAAATTTTAGAATACAGACCGCACACACACACATAGACATCCAAGCAGAGCGAACTAGCACAAAGTGAAGTCGCCTTAAATAGGCAGAGAAGGTAAGGCTGAGAGACAATGGGACAAATTATTTTATTTCCATTCTACGTGACTTTACCGATAGAACCAAGAAGGAGAGGAGAGAAACCTTCAAGTGCACTTTTTGTGAGGAGGTATGTGTGGAAATGCTTTCGAGCATATATACACAGTCACACATGACTTACACGTTTATACTTATTCATATATTCATGATATAGTGAAAACGATTCCCCAATTCATCACACGGGCTATTAAGGCACACAATGAAAGGGCAAATGGTCATAAATATGCCTGGATGCCCTAGTATTTTCAAAATGAATGTTTACCCAAAACTCCTAGCACACAATGTCGGCTGTCTAGCTACGAAAGTAATAATTATTTAAGAAAAATTAATCTAACATAGCAAAGGGTGTTGAAAATAATACTATTTGTATTATGCAGAAATACATAAATTAATGTTCAATCGAAACTTCGAGGTGTGAAGCCAGGATAAGATTTGCTTGAATGCTCGGATGAACCTCCATGTTCAATAGTTATAGTGAGGGTAAAAAGTATTTGATCCCCTGCTGATTTTGTACGTTTGCCCACTGACAAAGAAATGATCAGTCTATAATTTAAATGGTAGGTTTATTTGAACAGTGAGAGACAGAATAACAACAAAAACATCCAGAAAAAGCAGGTTAAAAATGTTATAAATTGATTTGCATTTTAATGAGGGAAATACGTATTTGACCCCTCTGCAAAACATGACTTAGTACTTGGTGGCAAAACCCTTGTTGGCTATCACAGAGGTCAGACGTTTCTTGTAGTTGGCCACGAGGTTTGCACACATCTCAGGAGGGATTTTGTCCTACTCCTCTTTGCAGATCTTCTCCAAGTCATTAAGGTTTCGAGGCTGACGTTTGGCAACTCGAACCTTCAGCTCCCTCTACAGATTGTCTATGGGATTAAGGTCTGGAGACTGGCTAGGCCACTCCAGGACCTTAAGGTGCTTCTTTTTGAGCCACTCCTTTGTTGCCTTGGCCGTGTGATTTGGGTCATTGTCATGCTGGAATACCCATCAACGACCCATTTTCAATGCCCTGGCTGAGGGAAGGAGGTTCTCACCCAAGATTTGACGGTACATGGCCCCGTCCATCGTCCCTTTGATGCGATGAAGTTGTCCTGTCCCCTTAGCAGAAAAACACCCCCAAAGCATAATGTTTCCACCTCCATGTTTGACGGTGGGGATGGTGTTCTTGAGGTCATAGGCAGCATTCCTCCTCAAAACACGGCGAGTTGAGTTGATGCCAAAGAGCTCCATTTTGGTCTCATCTGACCACAACACTTTCACCCAGTTGTCCTCTGAATCATTCAGATGTTCATTGGCAAACTTCAGACAGGCATGTATATGTGCTTTCTTGAGCAGGGGGACCTTGCAGGCGCTGCAGGATTTCAGTCCTTCACGGCGTAGTGTGTTACCAATTGTTTGCTTGGTGACTATGGTCCCAGCTGCCTTGAGATCATTGACAAGATCCTCCCGTGTAGTTCTGGGCTGATTCCTCACCGTTCTCATGATCATTGCAACTCCACGAGGTGAGATCTTGCATGGAGCCCCAGGCCGAGGGAGATTGACAGTTCTTTGTGTTTCTTCCATTTGCGAATAATCGCACCAACTGTTGTCACCTTCTCACCAAGCTGCTTGGCAATGGTCTTGTAGCCTATTCCAGCCTTGTTTAGGTCTACAATCTTGTCCCTGACATCCTTGGAGAGCTCTTTGGTCTTGGCCATGGTGGAGAGTTTGGAATCTGATTGATTGATTGCTTCTGTGGACAGGTGTCTTTTATACAGGTAACAAGCTGAGATTAGGAGCACTCCCTTTAAGAGTGTGCTCCTAATCTCAGCTCGTTACCTGTATAAACGACACATGGGAGCCAGAAATCTTTCTGATTGAGAGGGGGTCAAATACTTATTTCCCTCATTAAAATGCAAATCAATTTATGAAATTTTTGACATGCGTTTTTCTGGATTTTGTTGTTGTTATTCTGTCTCTCACTGTTCAGATAAACCTACCATTAAAATTATAGACTGATCATTTCTTTGTCAGTGGGCAAACGTACAAAATCAGCAGGGTATCAAATACTTTTTTCCCCTCACTGTATGTGAATAAGTATAGACGTGTAAGTCATGTGTGACTGTATTAATGCATTCCTCTGTGCCTTGATACTCACGTAGATGGTGTGGATATTTTTTTCTGTCTGCAGCTGACGCTTCTTCTGCAGAATTGATGTGATGGTGCAAAGGCAATCGGCGCAGCTCAGTACAAAAAGGAAGCATTGCGACCAGTATGCAAACAGCACGGATCGTACTGGAAACTTGACACAACACCAGATAATACACACAGGAGAGAAACCCTTCAAGTGCACTCTGTGCCGGAGGGCGTTTGCAAAGTCATCAGTTCTTCAGACCCACCAGAGAACACACACGGGAGAAAAACCTTTCAGGTGCACTCTGTGCAGGAAGGCATTTGCACAGTAATCACATCTTCAAAGACACCAGAGAACACACACAGGAGAGAAACTCTTCAAGTGCAGTGTGTGTGGGAAGGCATTTTCACATGCATCTACTCTTAAAATACACCAGAGAACACACACAGGAGAGAAACCTTTCATGTGCACTGTGTCAAAAAGCATTTGCAGACTCATCAGTTCTTCAGAACCACCAGAGAACACACACAGGAGAGAAACCCTTCAAGTGCACTGTGTGCGATAAGGCATTTGCACAGTCATCAGTTTTTCAGATCCACCAGAGAACACACACGGGAGAGAAACCCTTCAGGTGCACTCTGTGCGGGAAGGCGTTTGCACAGTCAGCAAATCTTCAAAGACACCAGAGAACACACACAGAAGAGAAACCCTTCAAGTGCAGTGTGTGTGGGAAGGCATTTTCAGCTTCATCTACTCTTAAAAATCACCAGAGAACAAACACAGGAGATAAACCCTTCAAGTGCACTCTGTACGGGAAGTTGTTTGCAGATTAATCACACCTTCAAAGACACCAGAGAACACACAGGCATCAGAAGATCCCCAAGGAGTGGAGTCTGAAATCGACTTGTGAAAGTTAAAGTGCTGCAATTTAATCACTCATGAAACAAGAACCAGAACAAAATCCCAGCTTGGACACTTTGAATGGTATCAAGGTTAAATATGAAGAGGCAACGGTGAAATATGAAGAGGTGAAATTTGAAGAGGCGATGGTGAATGTGAAATGACAGTGAAAAGCGAAGAAGTGAAGGTAAAATGTGAAGATGAAGATTCAACTCCAAAATAAGGCAACGTGAAGCAGGAGGAGAATTCTGACTCTGATGCAGAGCGAGGCAACTCCCAGCAGTTTGTAGAAGTGGAGGTGTGGGTGGACTTCCTAGACAATACAAAGTCATAAGGAGACCCTGTAGATGTTTAAGTTTGAGACAATGAAGCTCCAATAGATTCACCTTTGTCACGGGCCTTTAATGATAATAACGTGAAGTTGAACACTCAATTCCTAGGTTCAACCTGCAGAGTAAGAGCGGCCAGTATTAGTGGACCTGTGGGTTGGGTAGATGTCTAACCAGGAGCGAGAGCTAATAAGCTCCCAAGCATTCACTATGTTATGAGAATAATAATATTTGCATGCGTACGGTGCTTAATTGCCCATAATAGAGCTTTTCTTTTTTTTAGATCGCGTACATATAAAATTTTCATGAAACCAGCCACTACGTGATTTGTTCTCCAATGCACCGGTGTGCTATACTAGTGTAGTGACATCAGGGACGTCACTATATGGTGTTGGTCCGGGAGGGTCGTGGCGTGCGATGTTCCTATGTCGCGGACAGCACTGGGTGGTTTGCTGTGTGATGCCGGCTTTACTATAGCACGGCGTGCGATGCACCGTCATCACATACACCCCGTAGATGGGTGTAGTACCATACCTAGCGGGGCTTGGTGAGCGCTGGGATAGTGTGGGCATAGCATGTAGTGCAGGCTCCCACAAGGTGGAGCGGGAGAGTGTCAGCCCAGGGACCGGGTTGTCCCGGGCCATGGCACTCTAGTTGACCCCGTAGACACATGATCCGGAGTGTCCACAGAGAGGGCTCCAGGTGGGTGGGCTAGGGGGTGATCACTTGTCCGGGAAGAGCTCTCGAGAGGGATCGAGAGGGAGCTAGAACGCTCGAAGGCGGGCGGGGCCTGGGCGGAGCCAGCCCTGACCCGGGAGCATGTAAGATGGGTCCCGGAGAGGGACCGGGGTCGCTTCGTTCTACAAGCTGGAAGCTCCACGTCCTACAAGCTGGAAGCTCTACGTCCTACAAGGCATCAGCACGTGGCCGGGACCCGAGTGAGGGGTCCGACCCTTCGTAGTTGTAACTTCTCCGTATAGTGTAGTTAGCTGGGTGGTCACCACCCTAGGCTATATCTGGTAAAGGGGCAGTTACCCCTTTGTGTAATACGTGTTGCTATAATAAATGTGTTGCCTCTAAAGAATAACGTCTGCGACTCAGTTGGACTCACTACACTAGTGTAGTGTAATAGCGCCGACTGTTGTCCAGGAACGGCAACTGCAGTAGACAAACAGTACACAAGCCGGGTGTGTTGGCAGGGCCAAGGAACTGGGGCAAGGGTCATGGAAGACCCTATCTGGAAGCTCCTGGAACCTGCTAGTGGGTTCGAGAAGAAAAGCGCAACCAGGGCAGAGCCTGCTGAGTGCGGGAGCTCAGGGCTGCCAGTTCTAGGAGTGGGCTCATCTCTTCTTTGCTATCATCTTCGCCGCCTTCATCGCTGTCGTTTTCACTAGATTATGCGCGGCCGGATGAAGAAAGAACCCACCTATAGGGTCGTCGGAGGATGGGAAAGGCAAAATATTCATCCCTCCGACAGCCCGGGACCCAGGATCCCGGTTACGAAGCCCATTGGCAGAGAGAGAGCGGCAGTGAATCAGCGGGAGAGCGGCTGCGTATCAGCGGGAGAGCAGCGGCACATCGGCGGGAGAGCGGCCGTGGATCGGAGGGAGAGCGGTGGTGAATCAGCGAGAGAGGAGCCCGATCCTCCACGGTCATGCGCCAAGCATGCGGCATGGCCGCGGACCGCCGTGTTGAGGGGAGCGCGGGAGGCGCGCCGCTACCAGCGGTGCAGAAAGGAGTCACAAGGGGACCCTGGCGGCAGTCCCTGTCGGTGCTGGAGCAGATGAGCCGGGGCAGAGACCGCACATGTGGTGGGTGCCATTTTGCCCTTGGAGGGCTTGGCATAGCCGGCGGGCATTATTTTGCGGAGAGCGCGGGACAGCGCTAGAGGGGCGCCGGAGTCGATGGAGATGCAATGGGCAATTTTTGGTCTACCGCAGGAGACGCGCATGAGATTTCTCCAGCGGAAGCAAGGGGAGGCTGAGACGCCCTTCGCTTTCCGGGAGGCGCTGCTGGCTCTGGGGCGGAAGGCGTTTACCCCCAGATGGGTGAGACGGTGCTCGACTCCTTGGTGGTGGAAAGGCTAGTGGTGCTGGCGTGGGAGTCGGGGATCGTCCTGCCCTTCACCGAAGGCATGGGGATCACGTCCTTGAAGGTGGCCGAGGAAATTCAGGGCGATGAGGCCCGCCAGCATTGGCCCAAGGTGGAGGCTTGGCCATGGCGGGAGGAGGACATGGTGGCTGTGGTGTGTGGCCTGGGAATGCGCAGGAGAATGCCCCCATGGGTGGGTTGACAACCGAGGCAGCCCCCTCCACCCTGGGGTCCTACGGCCGAGTGTTTCAGGTGTGGTCAGCCGTACCACATCGCCAGAGAATGCCGGGGTGTCAGCAGGGTGCCGGCAGTGCCACCGACGCACTCTGACCCACCGGCAACGTCTTCCCAAGCTCCACCGGATCCGAGTCTCTGATGCTTTCCGAGACCGCCGTGTGCGAAGTGTCAGGGGCTGGATCCGATTCGGTGCTACTACGGAATTCAGCGAGTGGCCGTGCCCTTTAGGCCATTGTTTTTTTTGTTCCTGGTCCTCGGAATACCAAGGACTGCAAGACCCCCCCATTGCCAAGGACCGGCTCACGTGAGCTACGTTCCGGTAAAGGCAGACTCTCCGTTGGAAGGTGGAATTCCGGGGGGTTGTGCATGTTGTTTGGGTTGTGTTATCGGTTCACGGGGGGGGGGGGGGTTCTTGTCCACACCGTGGTTGGGCTGCGTGTTGTCAATTTGCGGAAGGCACCGCGGGTTGTCCTTTGTGTTAGCGGTTTGCGGGGGACGCCGGGGTTGCGCTGTGTGGTTACGGTTCGTGGAAGATGCTGCGGTTGTAATGTATGGTCGCGGTAAGTGTTGCAACCAAGGTTTTTTTTCGTTATGAATTATTTTTTGGTGTTGGTGGTGTTCCTCGGGGTTGGGGATTGCTCTGCCTGTTCACTGGTTGCAGTTGCTGGATGTCAGTCGACTGTTGTCCAGCAACAGTCGGCTGACATCAGTTCACACGCCGGTGAGCATATACACGGGTGTGTTGGCAGGGCAGAGGAACTGGGGCAAGGGTCACGGAAGACCCTATCTGGAAGCTCCTGGAACCTGCTAGTGGGTTCGAGAAGAAAGGCGCGACCAGGGCGGAGCCAGGCCACGCTGGGTAGCATAACAGCAGCTGAGAGCGGGAGCTCAGGGCTGCCGGTTCTAGAAGTGGGTTCGTCTCGTCGTCGCTGTCATCTTCGCCGCCTTCGTCACTGCCGTCTTCTAGATATTGCACGGCCGGATAGTTATTGGCTGTCTCGGTCAGCGCCAATGGTGTTACACGGTCAGGGTTGTGTTTAGGCTAGGCTAGACGACTAGGGAAAGTACAAGGGTGAACCTGTGAACCTGTGAAGGTGTTAATAAAGAAGGTGGCCCCTGAGAAACCTTGTCTCCTGCTCTGATGACACTACACTAGTGTAGTGGAACCAATCAGGCGCACACTAGAACTTGAAGGCAACACGGTTTATTAACTAACATCATATAACCCTTAACGGAATAAAAACATGAGGTGGTAACCCACTGTTCCTACACTTAGCTATATACACTTGGAGTAGATGGCTGTACATACTTGATGGGCAACTACAAACCGGACCAGGTCAGCCAACGCGCTGCCTGGTCCACGTGTGCGACGCCTAGAGACCATAAGATCCGCCGCCGATGAAGGTTTCTTACAGCAGCATCGACCCCGCCCTCCCCCCCTCCCTCCGGGGCTCGGCTTTTATCCTTATTGCGTGGCCAGGCCCCGTCTTTGGCCACGCCTCATTTCCCGATCCTTCGTGAGGATTCAGGGCCTACCTCACGTGTTCCTCAACCCTGGCACCCCGCCATCCGCACCACCTCCGGTCACGTGCCCCTTCCTGTTTACCCATCCTCCCCTGGTATGGCCATCCGGTGTCCGGGGAAAGGCTCCGCCCCTACAGAACCACCCACATGGTACTGTCTTTACACAACGGTACTCATACCAACGACACTACACTAGGAACAAATTGGCATGTTCTGTTTACGTGACAAACCTTACTAATTGGCTGTGTCGGGTGGTGGCAGGCTTAATGGCGCATTTATATTTACGCAATCTAACCCAAACAACCTCTTACGGATGATATTGGTCGCGAAAGCCGACAAACACTCGAAGTTTCAAAACGTCGTGAGAATTTTATTGTGTTATTTTATTCTATTATTTTATTATTTTATTCTCATTTTACGTGACTTTACCGAAAGAACCAAAGAAGATGAAACATACGTGACTTTACCGAAAAAACCAATGAGTAATTTTATGCAGTCACGAAAGCTTTAATACTTTATCACACTTCTACGGGGAAGTTACCGTTGTAATTATGTGTAAGATGTGCCCTTTTTTGAGCTGCCGTTTTGTATTTACAAGAGGTGGTCATTTTTTGAGCTGCTGTTTTGTATTTACAAGAGGTGGTCCTTTTTTGAGCTGTCCCCTCTCTCTCTCTCTGCTTCCCTGTCCGTCTTTCCTCCCTCCTTACCTCTTGGTGGACTTGTATATGTATTTCTACTGACCGTGTACCTCGTATTTTTCATTCTATCTATGCTGGTATGTGCAATCGAAAGGTTGAACACCAAATTTAACACTCTTCTGAAATTCGTGGTCCGCCAGGAAGTGTCAAACTGTGTTGTTGGCCTGACTGGATGTGCTTCACATAATGTTTTTTTCAGGTTTGTTGAATTCTCGTCTCTCATCTTTTTGTTGTATTTACCTCCGTGATTTGTTCTTGACACCTGATGAAGATCGTTTGCGTTGTGATCGAAACGTCGTGATTGTTTTTTTAAATATAATTTTATTGTATTTCTACGTACGTGACTTTACCGAAAAAACCAATGAGTAATTTTATGCAGTCACGAAAGCTTTAATACTTTATTTGAACTCTAACCCCGACCTCCGCATTACGTCTTCGGCGTGAGATGCGAGGAGAGGTGTACCCCGCTAGTGACGTCATGTCACCAAGGTGTTCACCCCCCTCCACCGCGCTTTTGAACGTGAAGTCACGTCTGGTTGGTCACTGCCGATTTCCATTCTCGTAAAATCACTGGCGTAATTTATTAACATAATTTATTCATCAATACCGTCTCGAGTTCACTCACGAATGGGCCTGGTTCATTAACATAATTTATTAAGTTACACCCGCCGAACATTGGGATGGGAGGTGTTGTACCGCGCACGTGACGTCATGTCACCTGTTGCCGCGTGACGTCACGAGAAACCAGGAAGCTGCCGATCCGCGTTGCGCGCTCACTGAGATCCGAGGTGAGAAGTTCACATCGTGGTTGTTGTTGTGGTTGTTGTTGTTTACCCAGGTAGAGCCTCTCTCCTCTCTCTCGTAGGGATATCAATTGAGTAGCAGCGAGTATGGAATCGATGTCCAGGTTGGAACATTACAACGCGGGGCCTAGCTATGCGGCGCCTTGCTCCCTACCCTCGCCTGATTGCATTTGCTTTAATTCTCTGCTTAAGTTTAATTTGTCTTCACCTGGCTCGCTACTTTGAAACTTTTTTTCTTTTAAATATTTCTAGAGTTTTTTTTTTATCTCACCAAGCCAAGCCTACTTGAGCTGCTATACCGCTCTTTTTCAGAAGCGACCTGCCCACAACAAATTGGCTTATCAACGTGTGGAAATCTTCTTTGGTTCTTTCGGTAAAGTCACGTAGAATGAGAATAAAATAATAAATTGATCAAATAAAATAACACAATAATATTCTCACGACGTTTCGAAAGAACCAAAGAAGATGAATCCTTGCAGTCACGAAAGCTTTAAATCGAAACGTGTGGAAATGTCTGTCGGTCAAATACTCTAAACGCGTGGTGATGTTGACTCTAAATGTGCAGGGAAAAACCCTGAGGATCCGGAGGAAAATCCACGGGGAGAGAGACACGCAAACTCCAAATGTACATCCTTAATACAGGTTTGTTTGGGTTAGATCGCGTAAATATATAAACGTCGTTAAACCCGCCGACACAGCCAACTAGTAAGGGTTGTCACGTAAACAGAACGTGGCCAATTCGTCACTAGTACAGCACACCGGTTGTGTGTTGGAGAGCCAAGCCACAACATTTACAATCTGAGTACGACGTTTTGCCAGTAATTACAACCAGCTTCATCATGCGACAGCCAAATCTTATGGCTTGGCTCTGTGAGAATATTAATCAGGTCGTTGGGTTCTTAGTGCAGCACGCTAACCATTGCACTACTGCTCCCCAATCACGCACAAACATCATCTGAATTATAGTATTCATTCAGTAATAACTAAGTTACCCGGATTTATTATAATTATTTAATTTTGCCACCTGAAGTCTGTGAATGTGTGTATATTGTCACGGTTTTTTTGTTTGTGGTATACAATCGCAGGGCTTGCTTGTTTCATAATGAGGGAAGCTTTTTAATTCATTACCCACGGAGAGCTTCAGGATAGACAATGTTAGATTTTTTGCCATCTGGTGGGTTTAATCGAATGAAGCTTGCGTACATGTCGACAGCAAATTGGCGGAACAGCTCTGCATCTCAAGAAGAGATTGAAACTGCCGTTTCGCACTATGATCCTGAAGGCAAAGAAGTCCATGTCGGAAATCTTTTGTGTTGGCAAGCCTGCTGCTGGGTCAGCTTGGCGAAGTAGGAAATGTTAGCCATCATCACCCTGCTAGAACATCCGTGGACATTGAAGATCATCATAGGATTGGTTAGTTTCAATTCTGTGAAGGGTATTGTTTCTCAGTTTCAAGACGATTCCTCGAGTGCCATGTTGCTCAGCAGTCAGAATGACAGCGACTTCAGATGTTGTGAGTGCATTTAAGCAGGTGCAGCCCCGGGCTGACCCGGGCTGCACCTGTTTCCTTTCCAAATTAGGTGGTGGTTTGCTCGTGCAACCAAGTGTTGTGCAAGCGCTCGTGTTTGTCTTAGGTTGCACTCGGCCTACAGTGTGCCCCACTTGTTTAACTACACTACATCTATATTTTTATATTCTTTTATTGTCTTGGAATATTTTTTGTACGTGGTTTCTCAATGTTTATTTCAATTTTATTTTGGTCTTTTGGTAAAGTCGCATAGATGGTTCAAAGAAAATAACAAGGACCCAATCAAAACCATCACCTTGCCATACATAGCAGGAGTCACCAATAAGATTTCCAAAAATCAAAATCATTAACAAACAAAAGATCCAGGTTCGATGTGATCCCTGACATGCAATACCCTGGCGTCTACAAATTAAGCTGTCTGCGGCAGTAGTTACTTTGCGGAAACTCAGCGACATGTCTCGGACCGTGTTCGTGAACATAAGGCAGATCTGAAACACGGGAGGACCAATATTTCGGCCGTGGCTGATCACTGTTTTAATGCAGTGGGCTCACGTGAAATGTATTTCTCTAAGACAAAGGTACTTTGCAAACCCACTGGCTATCAACAAAGATTTGTTCATGAAGCCATCCATATATACACAGACTCATTTTTTACCGAGAAGATGGGTACAAACTTAACAATCGTTGGAAGGACGTTATCAACCAGTTTAAGTCAACTGGCTGTGATGTTCCCTTCCTGCCACCTTCCGATGTAAACATTTTTATTTTTTCCCTGTGGCTTCGGCTCTCCGATTTCACATTAACAGGTTGAATTTCTCGCGCCAACAGGGCCACCTACGGACGCCGACCTCTACGTCGTGGTGGTTCTGTGATCTTACATTAACATGCTAATCTCTCACATTAACATAGCCACACGCGCACTCGTTGCGGACGCCGCTCTCCGATCTTACATTAACATGCTAATTTCTCACATTAACACCACTAGCCTCGCCCACTTTGTTTATGACCATAGGACTGCAACCTATGAAACGGTCTGCAATGCAGCAGCTTTCCTCCTGATGACGATCACTTGTGTTGTGATCGAAACGTCGTAGTTTTTTGTTATTTTCTTTGAACTATCTACGCGACTTTACTGAAAGACCCAAATCATATGAAAGCTTTAATTCAAGATTTATTTCAATTGTTTAGTTTATAGTTTGTTTGGAATACAATCATCTCAATCATCTCTTGACACCTGGATCATTCCCATGCGCTGCTGACAAGTGACCCACACTTACATGGCATTAAATTGCACCTATCATAGCATGAGCACTGTGACAGGGTTTCTTCAAATTACTGATGAATGGTGGCTGTTTTATTGATATCTATACTCTTTGGTTTTTTCGGTAAAGTCACGTAGGTAAAATAAAATAAAAATAAAAGAAAACAACTCAAATCACAACGTTTCGGAGGCAACACAAGCTTCCGTCTCAGAGCTCCCCACTTGATGCAGCTATCTTGCTGCGACTGTTCCACCTGAGGACGGTAGCTTGTGTTGCCTCCGAAACGTCGTGATTTGATTTAGTTGCTTTATTTTATTTTACCTACGTGACTTTACCGAAAAAAACAGAGTGAATCCTTGCAGTCACGAAAGCTTCAAATCTAGAATTATTGATATCTGTTACTGATTCATGTGAAATGTATGTATGTAAGAGTTTATTTATTTGGGGAGCGGTGGCGCAGTTATTTTACTGCATTATGAACTCGGCAAACATGATTGATAAGTGGTAGCTGAACTTATTGTGGGCCTCTGCGATGTTGATTGATTTTTTATTAATTGGTTATGTGAGGAAGCATTAATACTGAGCAGATAAAGGCAGCCAGGCATGTTTTTAAACACACCACCACCTTTTTACCGTGCCACTGTGTGACAATATAAAGTTTGTATTTGCTGTAAAGTATATTAACTCTTTTGAACACAAATGTTAAATCAAAACAATAATTTATTTAGTGTTCCTCTGGAACTTTTTACAAGAATGGAAACAGTCAGGAAATTAACACGGCACATATGCAGCTGAGGTTAGATCTGTTCATCCAAGCATTCAATTCTAGGGCATCCAGGCATAATTATGACCATTTGTCCTGTCATTGTGTGCCTTAAAAGACTGCGTGATGAATTGGGAAATCTTTTTCACTATATCATGAATATATGAATAAGTATAGACGTGTATGTCATGTGTAACTGTGTACATATTCATTCCTCTGTCCCTCTATACTGACATAGATGGTGCGGACATTTTTTTTCTGTCTGTAGCTGACGCTTCCTCTGACGCTTCCTCTCCAGAATTGGTGTGATGGAGCAAAGACACTCAGCGCAGCTCGGTACAAAAAGACAACAATGTGACCAGTATGCAAACAGCACAGATCATCCTGGAAACTTGACACAGCACCAAAGAACACACACAGGAGAGAACCCTTTCAAGTGCACTGTGTGTGAGAAGGCATTTGCACATCCATCACTTCTTCAGAGGCACCAGAGAACACACACGGGAGAGAAACCCTTCAAGTGCACTGTGTGTGAGAAGGCATTTGCACAGTCATCAGTTCTTCAGAGGCACCAGAGAACACACACAGGAGAGAAACCCTTCAGGTGCACTGTGTGTGATATGACATTCGCACATTCATCACATATTCAAAGACACCAGAGAACACACACAGGAGAGAAACCCTTCAGGTGCACTGTGTGTGATAAGGCATTTGCACAGTCACCACATCTTCAAAGACACCAGAGAATACACACAGGAGAGAAACCCTTCAGTTGCGCTGTGTGTGAGAAGGCATTTGCAGACTCATCAGTTCTTCGGAGCCACCAGAGAACACATAGGCATCGGGAGATTCCTAAGGAGTGGAGTTTGAAATCGACTTGTGAAAGCCAAAGTGGTGCAATTAGCCCTTCCCTCATGAAACAAGAAGCAGAAGAAAATACCAGCTTGGACACTTGGAAAGGTATCAAGGTGAAATATGAAGATGCGAAGGTGAAATGTGAAAAAGTGACAGTGAAGAGCGAAGAAGTGAAGGTAAACTATGAAGAAGAAGATTCAACTACAAAATCAGACCTTCACATCGATGGAGGCAACGTGAAGCAAGAGGAGAATTCTGACTCTGAGGCAGAGCGAGGCAACTCCCCGCAGTTTGTGGAAGTGGAGGTGTGGCTGGACTTCTTAGACAATACAAAGTCAAATGGAGACCCTGTAGATGTGTAAGCTTGACACAATGAACTTCCTATAGATTCACCTTTGTCACAGGCCTTTAATGAAAAGAATGTGAAGTTGAACAGTCAATTCCTAGGTTCAACCTGCAGCGTAAGAGCGGGCCAGTATTTGTGGACCTGTCGGTTGGGTAGATGTCTAGCCAGGAACGAGAGCCAATAAGCTCCCAAGCCTTCACTATGTTATAATAATATTTGCATTCATATGGTATTTACTTAATTGCCCATAATAGAGGTTTTTTGGATTAGATCGCGTAAATATCAATGTTTAGTTGAACTCGCCACTACCCAATTGGTTCCTTACTAATGTAGTGTAATAGCGCCGACTGTTGTCCAGCAACGGTAACTCCGGTGCACAAACAGTACACACGCCAGTAAGCATATACACGGGTGTGTCGGCAGGGCGGAGGAACTCTGGCAAGGGTCACGGAAGACCCCATCTGGAAGCCCCTGGAGCCAAGGCGGAGCCAGGCCGCGCTGGGTAGCATAAAAGCAGCTGAGAGTGGGAGCTCAGGGCTGCCGGTTCTGGGAGTGGGCTCGTCTCGTCTTCGCTGTCACCTTCGCCGCGTTTGTTGCTGCTGTTTTCGCTAGATATTGCACGGCCGGATAGTTGTTGGCTGTCTCGATGTTACACGGTCAGGGTTGTGTTTAGGCTAGGCTAGCCAACTATGGAGAGTGTGATGGCAAACCTGTAAAGGTGTTAATAAAGAAGGTGCCCCCTGAGAAACCTTGTTTCCGGCTACAATGACACTACAACTGGTGTCAGGAGTGGGTGAAGAAAGAACCCACCTATAGTGTCGTCAGAGGACGGGAACGGTGAAACATTCATCCTTCCGGCAGCCCCGGGACCCCGGTTATGAAGCCCGTTGGTAGAGATAGAGCGGCATCGCATCAGTGGGAGAGTGGCTGCGAATTAGCGGGAGAGCGGCGACGAATCCGCGAGAGAGGAGCCCCATCCTCCGCGGTCACGCGCCGAGCACACGTTATAGCCGAGGACCGTCATATTGAGGGGAGCGCAGGATGGCGTGGGAGGCGCGTCGTCGCTAGCGGCGCGGAAATGAGTTACGAGGGGACCCCGGCGGCCTGGGCCGGGGACCGCGCATCTGGTGGGCACCATTTTGCCCGTGGAGGGCCTGGCATGGCCGGCGGGGGCTATTTTCCGAAGAGCGCGGGACAGCGCTGAAGAGGCGCCGGAGTCGATGGCGCTGCAAGGGGTAATTTTTGGCCTACTGCGCGACGCCCGTACAAGGTTTCTTGAGCGGAAGCGAGGGGAGGCCGAGACGCACTTTGCTTTCCGGGAGGCGCTGCTGGCGCTGGGACGGAAGGTGTACCCCCAGATGGGTGAGACGGCGCTCGACTCTTTGGCGGCGGAAGGGCTGTTGGCGCTGGCGCGGGAGTCGGGGATCGTCCTGCTCTTCGCTGAAGGCATGGGGATCATGTCCTTGAAGGTGGCCCAGGAAATTCAGGGTCACAACACCCGCCACCATTGGCCCAAAGTGGAGGCTTGGCCATGGCGGGAGGAGGACATGGTGGCTGTGTTGTGTGGCCAGGGGACGCACGGGGGAAGGCCCCCGCAGGTGGGTTGGCAACCGCAGGGCAGCCCCCTCTGCCCTGGGGTCCCATGGCCGAGTGTTTCAGGTGTGGTTGGCCGGGCCGCATCGCCATAGAATGCTGGGGTGTCAGCAGGGCACCGGCAGCGCCACCGACGCCCTCCAACCCGCCGGCAACCTCTTCCCAAGCTCCACCGGATCCGAGTCTCTGATGCTTTCCGAGACGGGCGTGTGCAAAGTGTCAGGGGCTGGATCTGATTAGATGCTACTGTGGAATTCAGGAGGGGCCGTGCCCTTTAGGCCATTGTCTTTTTTGTTCCCGTTCTTCGCAATCCCAAGGAAAGCAAGACCCTGCCAAGGCGGGGGTGACCAGTGTCAAGGACCGGCTCACGTTAGCTACGTTCTGGTAAATGTGGACTCTCCCTTGTAAGGCGGGATTCGGAGGGGTTGTGTATGTTGTTTGGGTTGCGTTATCGGTTCGCGGAAGGGGGGGGGGGTGTCGCGGTTGTGCTGTCCCCGACGGGGTTCTTGCTCACACCGCAGTTGCGCTGCGTGTTGTCAGTTTGCGGGGGGGGCGCCACAGGTTGTCCTTTATGTTGGCGGTCTGCGGGGGGCACCGGGGTTACTCTATGTGGTTACGGTTCACGGGAGAAGCTACGGTTGCACTTTATGGGAAGTGTTGCAACCAAGGTTTTTTTTGTGTTGGTGGTGTTCCTCAGGGTTGGGGGTTGCTCTGCCTATCCACCGGTTGCAGTTTCTGGATGTCAGCCGACTGTTGTCCAGCAACGGCAACTGGTGTGGAAAAACAGTACACACGCCGGTGAGCATATATATACGGGGGTGTCGGCAGGGCGGAGGAACTGGGGCAAGGGTCACGGAAGACCCTATCTGGAGCCCCTGAAACCTGCTCGTGGGTTCGAGAAGAAAGGCGCGACCAGGGCGGAGCCATGCCATGCTGGGTAGCATTAAAGCAGCTGAGAGCGGGAGATCAGGGCTGCCGGTTCTGGAAGTGGGTTCGTTTCGTCATCGCTGTCATCTTTGTCGCCTTTGTCACTGCCGTCGTCGCTAGATGTTGCGCGGCCGGATAGTTGTTGGCTGTCTCGGTCAGCGCCATCGGTCTTACACGGTCAGGGTTGTGTTTAGGCTAGGCTAGACGACTATGGAGATTGCGATGGCGAACCAGTGGTGTTAATAAAGAAGGTTCCCCCTGAGAAACCGTGTCTCCTGCTCCGATGACGACATTAGTAACAAATTGGCATGTTCTGTTTACGTGACAAACCTTCCTAATTGGCTGTGTCGGGTTGTGGCGGGTTTAATGATGCATTTGTTTTATGCGATCTAACCCAAAAAAAACCTCTTATGGATGATATTGGTCACAGAAGCCTACGTGTTAAACTTGCTGAATTGCCTCAGCAATTCGGAGTTTTGTATCATATCTCATCACAAACACTTGAAGAGCACCCCACGTGGCAGCTGCCTCTGTATGGCATAAGGTGGCCCTGCACCAGCCTGCATGTGGGCATGAGTCTGTCAGTAGGGGGCGAAAATTGATGTGTAATCTCCGTTATGTTTTTTAATGGATAATATTTGTAATTACCCAAATTTTGACAATGACAGCAACATGCAATGACCCATGCGTTTTGAATGACACAATAGTATGTTTTACATCCACTGTTAAGCAGACAGTACATATTTTCGTTAATGTTACTGAGTAGCCAGAGGTGCCTGTCGGATTTGTACCTTAAACCTCTGCAATAAAAAGAGAATGCACTACCACTTGGCTTCCCTCAATCTGAGTGTAGGCATGCCAGCCCGAATGTTTCTAACCGGTGCAGATGTTCCATTTAGAGGGTCCACGTTTCACATCCCTATAGAAGGGAGGACATTACTGGCCGAGAACACCCAAGCTCCGTACGGACCGACAGACTAGGTAGCTTCCACGCAGCATTGCGCAGCTGATGAAAAGATAATGCGGCCCGACTGATTCGGACCATCCACACTGGATACACACACGCAGTGTATAAATAAGGTGTACACACACATCTTCTTTGGTTCTTTCGGTAAAGTCACGTAGAATGAGAATAAAATAATAAATTGATAAAATAAAATAACACAATAATATTCTCACGACGTTTCGGCCACAACACAAGCGGCCTTCATCAGGTGAAGGGGGGCGAGACTGTCTGGTAGGACAGCGCTGGAGTGAGAGAGCCACGTTCAGATCACGGCTTTTAAGCTGTGTGAGAGGAACAAAGAGCCTTGACACAGGAATTAGCATAAAATTTAGCATTGAAATGGCTGAATGATTAGCTTGTGACTGGTCACAGAGATAGCTATGTTAAAAGTTAAAGCATACACATCCGCAGAGGCACCCATTGTTAAAAGGAATTAGCATAGAATTTAGCATTGAAATAGCTAAGTTAAGGCATACACATCCGCAGAGGCACCCCTTGACAATGGGATTAGCATAGAATTTAGCATTGAAATGGCTGAGTGATTCGCTTGTAACTGCTACAGAAATAGCTACGTTGAAGTCAGAGCATACACATTCACCGAGGCACTTAGTACAAATCAAACAGGAGAATTTAGCATTGAAATAACTAGGCGAATTTAGCATTGAAATAACTGGGTGATTTGCTAGTGACTGGTCACAGAAATGACTACACATCTGAGCTATTCACAGTACTATATAGTGAACCAATAAAAACTAAAATATAAATTACCTTCATGTTATCAATAAACTCTATATTCTCCAATCAGGTGAATGTGTATGCTCTGACTTCAACGTAGCTATTTCTGTAGCAGTTACAAGCGAATCACTCAGCCATTTCAATGCTAAATTCTATGCTAATCCCATTGTCAAGGGGTGCCTCTGCGGATGTGTATGCCTTAACTTAGCTATTTCAATGCTAAATTCTATGCTAATTCCTTTTAACAATGGGTGCCTCTGCGGATGTGTATGCTTTAACTTTTAACATAGCTATTTCTGTGACCAGTCACAAGCTAATCATTCAGCCATTTCAATGCTAAATT